CTTCCAGACCATGGAGTCCAACCACCAACCCACCACTGGCCAACCCACCACTGACCCATGTCCCTCAGCACCACCTCTGCCCGGCTCCCAAATCCCTCCAGGGATTGTGACTCCACCACTGCCCTGGGCAGCCTCTGCCAAGGCTTCACAACCCTTTCCAGGAAGAAATTCTTCCCAAGCTCCATCCTAAACCTCCCCTGGGGCAACTTGAGGCCGTTTCCTCTTGTCCCATGGTCTGTTCCTTGGGAGAAGAGACCGACCCCCCCTGGCTACACCCTCCTTTCAGGGAGTTGGAGAGAGCAGTAAATCCCTCAGGAGCTCAGGCTGTGTGTGTGTGAGAGCTGCCTCTACCTCCATGGTGGCTTTAAGGGCTCAGTGTGAGATGAAATCACACCTGCCAAAGCATTTTGGGCAATTTAGACTCATAGAATGGTTTGGGTTGGAAAAGACCTCAAAGATCATCTAGTTCCAACCCCCCTGCCCTGGGCAGGGACACCTCCCACCAGAGCAGGTTGTTCAAGGCCCCATCCAGCCTGGCCTTCAACCCCTCCAGGGATGGGGCATCCACAACTTCCCTGGACAACCTGTTCCAGTGTCTCACCACCCTCAGAGTAAAAAATTTCTTCCTGATATGGGCACTTCAGCTGGGTGCCTAAAGGGGCTGACTTTTTGGCTGAGCTGGTAGGTTGATGGCTCTCCTTGAGTTTTTTTTTTCTGCTTGACCTGTGTTTAACCCCCTCCCCCTTCGGACCTAGTTTAAAGACCTTTTTTTAGTTTTTTGGGGTTTTTTTTTTAGTGTTTTGGGGTTTTTTTCTTTTTATTGTCATGTTAGTACAGAGTCACTGTGTGTGTTGAAGGGTGCACCTTGTGCTTTGAAGCAGAAATGTTCCTGTGATCCTGGTGAGTGATGTGGGATTGAGAGAGCAGAGTTTGGTTCAGAGTATTATCTTGAAAAACTCCCTCTTAAACCTCTTCCCTCAGAACACAGCGGAGTGTGAAAAATACGCCTGCTGTCCCCTGCCTCCCTACCTGGAAGATTCTGGTTGTGTGATTGAAGAGGATGAGAATGGGGGGAGACCTCTGAGAGACGTCTGTTTCCATCTGTTAAAGCTCTACAGCGACAGGTAAATGGGTGAAGAGCTCAAAAACCACTGAGAAAAATCTTCATCAGTCGGTGACTTCTTGAAATCCCAAACCCAGGGGTGTGAAACCAGCTTCGGTGTGGACTTGAGTGGTGAAAAACCTGCCTTGTGTGGACCCCCTTATGGAATGTGGTGACGCTGTCGCTGCTGGTGATGGCAGAGGGGATGAAACTTCAGCTTTGGAGCACGTTTGTGGGGTTTTTCTTGCATCATTCTAGATGTCATCTCCAAACAAGTTGAAGAGTGGGGGGTTATTGGAAGTGGGCAACACGGGTTTACCAAGGGTAAATCATGTATGACCAATCTGATAGCCTTCTGTGATGCCCTTGGATGAGGGGAGAGCAGCAGATGGCATCTACCTTGACTTCAGCAAGGCTTTTGACACTGTCTCCCATAACATCCTCATTGGGAAACTGAGGAAGTGTGGGCTGGATGAGGGGACAGTGAGGTGGGTTGAGAACTGGCTGTGTGACAGGACCCAAAGGGGAATGATTAATGGAGAAGGTTCAAACTGGAAGCCTGTAACCTGTGGTGGCCCCCAGGGGTCAATACCTGGTCCGGTGCTGGTCAATATATTCATCAGTGACCTGGATGAGGGGACAGAGTGGATCCTCAGCAAGTTTGTTGATGATACCAAACTGGGAGGGGTGGCTGACACCCCAGAGGGCTGTGTCACCATCCAGTGTGACCTGGACAGGCTGGAGAGCTGGGCAAGGAAGAACCTCATGAGGTTCAACGAGGAAAAGTGCAGGATCCTGCACCTGGGGAAGAAGAATGTCAGGCACCAACACAGGTTAGGGGTGGATCTGCTGGAGACAAGCTCTGAAGAAAAGGATCTGGGGGTCCTGGTGGACAACAAAATGACAATGAGCAAGCAGGGTGCTCTTGTGGCCAAGAGGCCAAAAAAATTCAGTGAAATTCAGTGAAATTGGGAGCACGTTAGTGGGGTTTTTCTTGCATGTTTTCCGTGCCTGAAGCACTCTGTCATCTCGATTCACCGGAGCTGCCTTTTTTTGGGTTTTTTTGAAGGCTTTGAGAGATCTGCAGGGGGAGCCCATGGGAAGGAAAAGGCTGTGACAGTCTGGATGCAGGCTCAGAAGAAGAGTGAAAGAAACTTAGTGGTTGCTCCAATCTTTAAGGAAAAAAAAAAAAAAACCACCCCAAACTACCACCACCACCAAAAAAGCACCACAAAAAAACCCCCAAAAAACCAAACCAACAACAACCTGCCCACACTCCCCCCAAATAACCCCCAAAAAATGAAGCACCAACAAACCCCAAACCCCCACAGCCACCTAAATCCCATCAGTGGAACCATTAGAAGTGGGTGAAGGGAAAAAAAAACTCAGTAGCACCAATTTTTCACTCTTTTAACGTGGACACAAGTAGCTCTTGACGTGGCAAACGTTTCTCCCTCAGGCACTACGAGCTTGACCAGCTCCTGGATCCCCGGAGCGTGACGTCGGACCCTCTGGACTATCGCCTGAGCTGGCACCTCTGGGAGGTTCTCCGGGCCCTGAATTACTCCCACCTCTTCAAGCAGGGGAAGGGGGTGCTCAATGCCAGTTATGCTGCCCAGCTGGAGAGCGAAGGTCTCTGGGAATGGGCTGTTTTTGTGCTGCTGCACGAGCCCAATACGCAGTGAGTAAAAGATATTTTTTTACTAAAAAAGTTTTTTCTGCCTTGAAAATAACACGTTTTTCCGGTTTTAAAAGACCTGCTGGGTGTTCTGTAACGAGCACGGCTTCTCTTCCCTGAAACTGGGACTTTAATAAATGGTGTGAATGAATGAATGAGGGATCTGGGGTGGGCAGGGACCTCTGGAGACCCCCCCAACCCAAACCGTTCCATCCATGGGACCTCTGGAGACCCCCCCAACCCAAACCATTCCATCCATTACCAGAGGAATGGGATGTCATCCAAAAGGACCTGGACAGGCTGGAGAGGTGGGCCCAGGTGAACCTCA